GATTCGAAGCTGCTGAATGGTACTTTCACCAGATCCGAAAGCTTGCAGATCGATGGCAGAAAGTCTTGGAAAATGATGGTCTTTATTTTGAGGAATAATTTTTGTTGTTTTTGTTATAACTTCACGAATAAAATTTCAATTTTTTGCAAGTGTTTACGAACTTTTGGGACAACCTAATAATACGTTAATAATTATTTACGCTAGCTTGGTTATGTGAGTCGCTTTGATGTGTGACTTCCACGTTAGTTGAGTGACAAAACAGCTAAAACATATTTCAGAATGCGAACTTTAGTTGTTTTTTTTTTTAAAACCAGGTCAATATTCATACTGATGACACAATTATTTACTCCTGTCTCAGTAATAAGTTTGATCGTCTCGATAATGTCAAATTGGCAGCTGATCTCAAAAATGTCCTCTAATCAGTGGTTAACAGTGTCAAGAAATGGTTTGTAAATTTGAACGCCTCCAAAACAAAACTGATATCATTTAATTATCAATGTTTCTGCTTTTCATCAGTATGGCTGATGTTAACCTTAAGGAGAGAAATCCTTTTCGTCTTCTAGGCTTTCCGCTGGTGGGTTGATTATATTGAATCAATTGCTAGGTCCATTGAAAAGATTACTGAACTGTTATGTACTATCTATATTACAATGACTGCAGGACAATCTCTTCACAGACACCGAGAAGCAACAGAAACGTGATTCTGCAGAAAGATGCTGAGAATGCTCTGGAGACAACAGAAACAAAAAGAGCACTTACACTTAATACTAGGAATTTCTAGGGCACATAATGAGGAAAGAAGGCTTGGAAAATATAATGCTCACAGGACAGAATGAAGCTAAGATGGACAGATAAAAGTAACGCGTAAGCTGCCAGTGGTGGTTGAGTGAATGGATGGCGTAGCAGGATTCGGTAAAGCTAATTAAAAGACAACATTTATTCAGAGCTAGAAAAGACGAGAATTTTTGGAGAGCCATGATTGCCAAAATCCTGAAGGGACATGGCACAGAGAACATGCTCAAATGAAAGTAGGGATTCACAATGAGAAATTAAGGGGTACAGCGTATCTTCCTATCAGAAAAATTTCAGGTCATATGTTTTTTTTTGGGAAAACCAACAAATATTTATACAGATATGCTGATTTGATGTAAATTATTAAGCATATACTATTTTGGCACAAGCCCACAAGTATTGTCCACTCAGTGAGGATCAAATTCATTACTCACTAGTAACAGTCAGTCTAGCTTGCTTACCGTTTACACGACCCCTGCGTGCCAAAACATTCTACTAAGCCTAGTTTAGTACAAGGACACGAGTAAGGGTACTCTACGAGGATCGAACTAATAATTCAAACTATTTTATTCATTACTATTCTACACAATTAGAACAGGATGATTTTTCCCTACACCCAGGAGAAAAGATGAAATTTGACGTCATAAACAGAGACATCAAGAATTAGATTCATAGCTTTTACCAATTTTTGAGCATTTAGTTTTAAAATCCCCTGAAATAATTTACAGAAATATCTAAATTCTGTAGGTTTTGCTTAGAAACTGACTTCAAAATTTTATTATTTCAATAATAAATCCAAATAAAGTTGACATATTTTGTGTTAGATAAATTGAATAGAAAATATATTCAAACCAGAATTCTAATTATGAATCCCTACAAGCAAAAATGCATTTGTTTACTATATTTGAAAAGTTAAAACTGTGTAAAAAATTGTAAATATTGCAAAAAGTTTTACTCGATGAATAAGATTTGTTAGATCATTTGACAGATCATAATTAATAAAAACAAAAATAGATAAGTGTATATAACATCATAATACTATTGGGCACAAAGTATAAAACAAGAAGTTTTTATATTTGCATTGTTTATTGAAAATCCCACTATCATTACTGCCCTGTATGACATATTACATCATAATATAGCTACATAATTTTCCTTTAAAGTAAATGAAGGTCTTTTTGATGGCACAATGATTTAGTAATAATGTACCTGTGCCATGCATCTTGCCCATATAAAATTTGTAAAGCTTCAGAAAGTTATAGATTTTTATAAGGTCGTACTATAAGGCTTTCACAGATCAGCGGAATGAAATTCCAACGCTTCGATTTTGAAACTAAACCTAATCTTTTAAACTAGGCAGTGGGGATCCTTCTGTAGAACCATACAGCGTTTGCTACCAGTCTCCTCATCGTCTTTTAGGTAATTGTCTATCTTTCATTACAGTATTGGAGGACTGAGATTACATCGCACTTAAGGGCCTGTTTCTTTGCTTTTTAGGACATTTTCTCGTTTCTTAATACTTTGTTTAGATTTTGGAAGGCATATTTCGGTATCGATCTGTGCCTTTAGGGGTGGGGTCATATTTTCCTTTGTTTGTTATAGCACTTCCCATTTATATCAATTTCTCCCGTTTAATTTCGAAGAGTAAATATCATTTCCAGGAAAATATATTAATTAATATTATTTGTTTTATTTCTCCAGTTTTATTTCAGATTTTTTCTTTTTTTTCTTCTCTTTTTTTTTTTAACTTATTAACTTCTTCTTCTTCTTCTTCTTTAACTTATTAACTTCTCTTTCTTTAACATAACTTCTATTTCTTTAAATTATTTATTTCTCTCTTTCTTTAAATGATTAACTTCTTCTTCTTCTTCTTCTTCTTCTTCTTCTTCTTCTTCTGCTCCTACTCATCCTCCTCTTCGTCCTCCTCTGCACAAATTCTTTCTTTACCTTTTCAAGATTTTAATCACCATAATCTAAATTAATGTGAATTCTTCCTACCAACTTGTCATTATCAAATTCCTGAATAAATACCTAATTCTTGAAAAAGAAACGTTCATAATGACTTATTTTTCATTTTTATTTCTTGTTTTGATTGCAATATTCGCTTCGTATTTTTTATGACTTCTCCAATTGTTATTGTTTCGTTGACATCGATTTCTATTGTATCGAATATAAATCTGTATGTGGAAATTTTGCAAAATCTCATTCATGGTAATAGCTTTAATAATTATAACAGCATTAATGACAGATGTCCTAACGATGGAAGCAGTTATAACATCTCCCCCATAACTACCATAGAAATGGAGGGGGCTATAAATCATAGAAAAGAAAGATGGCGGGTAAAACAACAAAAAGAGGCGGAAGAAAAAAGGAATTTTAACAAAGGAACGAGAACAGGAGTGAATTACAAAGAAAAAACGTATTGTAACTGCGATAAAATCTGCATTCCGTTGTGACAGTGATTTTCAAAACCACGTGCGAACAGGCACTGTTATAGTGGTCAAAGAATTTGAAATTTATTCCTTGTAGTCATGGAAGTTTTTTGAAAAAAAAAAAAGAGAGAAGCGTTTCAGCATAAGGAAACTTGTCAGAAGTTGGTAGGAATGTAAAATAGCATTAAAGCATTTTAATATGTTGTTGGTATATTCGTAATAAATTTTGGCATTTATACTTCAAGATGATCTTAGAGAAGATCGAAAGTACATGGGTTTAAAAAAACAACAAGCTTTCCTTGATGAATTTCATCTTAACGTCAAAAAGAAACTGATTAGACATGGAAATGGTATTAAAAAGATATATATATATATATATATATATATATATATATATATATATATATATATATGTGTGTGTGTGTGTGTGTGTGTCTGTGTGTGTCTGTGAAAAATATATAGAAAATAGGAAAGAACTCAATTAGGTAAATAATCCAAAGTTCTTTAGTATTTTTGTTATTATTTTTAAAAATAGTGCTCGATACAAAAGTAGAGCATAAATTTAATTCAAATAATTATATTGAAGTTTTCGGCTCTTGTTTTGAAACATGTAACGTGTAACTCATATTTTAAATAAATAATTATATATTTATATATATATATTATATATATATATATATATATATATATATATCTGTCGGTTTAAAGCTTAATGTAACAAATTTTGCGTTTACACGATCTGGAGAAGTGCGAGAAAATAAACAGTTACCATAAAACTTACGGTTATCTTTTATATATGTTGCTAGATTTGTAGCATAGACAATATATATATATATATATATATATATATATATATATATATATATATATATATATATATGTGTGTGTGTGTGTGTGTGTGTGTGTGTGTGTGTGTGTGTGATGTGTGAGATAGATAGATAGATAGATAGATAGATAGATAGATAGATAGATAGATAGAGTTAAATTAAAAAAAAACAGACAACCTTAAGGGTCCATAGATTATATTTTTTTGTTTCCCCAGGAATGTAATTTTTCCTGGTTCATTGAGCTCTCTGGATTGCATTTTCCTTGGGATTATCTATGCGGATAACCAAATATTGCATTACCTAACTATATATATATATATATATATATATATATATATATATATATATATATATATATATATATATATATATTATATATGCTACAAATCTAGTAACAATCGATAAAATGAAAGATTCCATACAGCAAGAATGCAGCCAAATACCTATCGAAATGTTAATTGCTGCCTGTGATTGCACGGTGTCACGTTGTCAACAATATTGGGATCATAATGGATATAAATTTGAAAACATACGATGGCAAAATCTCAAGTGCTGAATTTATAATAAATACTCTCTTCATATGCATTCTTTAAATAAGATACAGTTGGATCAACTTGCTTGGATTATTTCTTGAGAAAGCTTCCAATTCCGTACACAGTTTTTGAAACACCCTGTATGCTAAAATATTATTTTATCATAATATAACAGCATATTCCTCTTATTAATGTGTTGTAAATTGCCTAAGTAAAAGCCGTAATTGAAAATAGCAGTAGCATTTCCATTAGAACAAAATAAGTAATGAGATTGTTATTAATAAGGTAACACGTGAAAGAGTTAACTTGCTTTGGAGGAATGAAATAAGGTCTGTTTACTTCACTGTTCAAGAAAGAAAAGAATCCATTCCTTTCAATACGAACATCTTAAGACTGTTCTTCATAGATGCCTGTCTTACAGCTATATCAGGGTGAAAACACCAATTCTCGCACGATCACAAATGTTAAGCAACATCGAGCCTGTTCAGTAACTAGATGGGTGGCCGCTTGGGAATGACAGAAACTGTAAACTTGGATGTGCTAGTGATGTAATGAATAACGGTGTGGAATCGAAGAGCCGAGTTCGAATTCTGACAAGTAACTAAGGTGAATATGAATATGAGGCCAAAAACTAATTTTCGACAATATTTCATTCAATAAACATTCAAGATAATATGTATTACTACGTTTGCTTCATACCAACAAGAAAATAATAATTAACACGCATGTGATATTTCGACAAACTTATATATATATTTGTGTATTTAGACAGCAATCGTTGTTTCATGCACATTTCACTGAATACGACAGACAAGGTTATCCATTGCAATTATCTATTTCTTATTTAACAGTTAAAATATCTAAACCTTGAAAATGGGTAAATGTATAGCCGAAAGCGCTCGAATAAAAAGAACATTCGGACAGTTTTTATATAATTTATTATCTGAAAAGAAAACAAAATAGTAGATCGCATGAGAAATTTTATAAAAAAACAAATAAAAGCACATTGTCTGTCGTTTTCAATGAAATGTGCAAGGTGGAGTAATGGATAGCAGCTTGGATGAGGAATCGGAGAGCCGAGTTCGAATTCCAGTCGAATCCATTACATTCACTTACGTGCAAAGGTGTGAATCATCTCCTCCATCCAGTTATGGGTAAATAGCAGGACAGACTGGGTTCTATAGCCTTGGATGGCAACTGATCTAGGAGAAGGACAACTCTGAATTCAAAACCTGCTGAGGGTCGTTTGGGGACCTTATGGCACGTAGTGCCCCAGGTCTCTGTATTCGGCCCTTCAAAAAGTGTGGATGCTCCTGCACGAAACGTTCACTACTATAATCAAATCTCATGTGCTGTTGTCGGGCTGTCGGTTTCCTGAGAACTGATCTGCTTGATCCTCATGCATCGAAGTCGATTCGAGTATATATATATATATATATATATATATATATACCCGATTTTCCCCTAGAACTGAGGCTCTATTGAGTGAGATACACATAACTCCATGATATTGGACATCGTCTCTAAATTAGTCTCCCATAAGGTTAATGGTGGGGACTGGATACCAGCCGTTGTCCTGAAGAAATGTGCTCCCGAACGGGTTCATGTCCTCTCCAACATATATAACTACTGCCTCAACGAATCTTGCTTTCCAACCTGTAGGAAGTCCTCATCTTTTGTCCCTTTCTTTAAGAATTGTGAAGACTCATTTAGCTACCGTTCTATCAGTCTCCTACTCCTCTTCGGCAAGTCTTCCAGGCCTTAATGAACGCCGAAGTGGTTAAGAACTTACATCCCATAATTTGCTCTTGGAGAAGCAATATGGTTTCCGCTTAGCCCGACCTACCGCTGATGTGCTCACGGCCATAACCCAATTTTTCTACTAAGCACTTCACAATAACGGAGAAGCCTGAGCCGTGGCTCTAGATATCTCTAAATCATCTATAGGGTTTGTATACGGCATTACAGGACGATTATTTGACTTAATACAATCATTCTTGTCAAATCTTGGGCCATACACTGTTTCTGATATTCCTGATGTCATCAGTTCCCAAGTGGGCATCTACGCAGACGACACTACTATTTACTCCTGTCTCAATAGTAAATCTGGTATAGCTGACAAAATTAATCTGGCCGTTGGTTTCGAAAAGGACCTCCAATCTGTGGTTGACTGGGGCAGGAAATGGCTGGTTATCTTCGATGCTTCCAAAACAAAACTGCTCTCATTTACCCACCGCAGGAAATCCCCACTGCCTCTCATCAGAATGGCTGATGCCCAACGCCACGAGAGCGCCTGTCTGGGCCTGCTTGGTCTCACGTTGTCTGCTGACCAGAGGTGGAACAAATACATTGATCAACAGCTTCATCTACCGAAAGTTGGTTCTCTGTGTCGCGCCAGAAAGTTTTTCTCGCTGAGTCCATCGTTTAAATCTATAAATCATCCATCAGTCCTTGCCTTGAATATTGCTGTCATATATGGTCTGGGGTCCCCACTGTTCCTTTCGCGGTCATCGACAAAATCCACAGACGAATATGCAATGTGATGGGTCCATCTCGTCTACAGTCACTTTCTCACAGACGTGCCGTTTTTTCTATCTGTCTTTTCTACAACTATTTTTCACGGCAACTGCATGAATGTAAGCGTACTACTAGGTTGGCATATCGGTCCCACCCTTTCACTGTCGAAACAGTTAAATGTAGCCGTCTCTACTACTACAACAGATTATTATAATTCTCGCATTTCCCGTCTATGGAACTCACTTATTTGCTTCCCAGTGAGGTACAATCTTCAAATACTCAAATGTAATATCAATCGACGTCTTCTGAAGCCTTCATCTAGTTTCCCACCCTTTTCCTTTCCTCAAGCACCCCTCTTTACTCTTGCTCTCACTCTCTGTAACCCCTTATGCACTAGTAGCACTCCCGCCTTGCTTGGGGTGAAATGCTTAATATATATATATATATATACATACATATATATATATATATATATATATATATATATATATGCGTGTGTGTGTATATTAATTGAAGTAATGTAAAAGGTTTCTTTCCAGAAATCAATCCGTCCACTCGTCAGTGAGTATCAGGAATTGAATGCTCATACTCCTCGATTTTACTTTTGTTAAATGCAGTTTTCATTGTTGTAAGTTTTTTTTTAAATCCATAATGTATGTGCGTCTATGCGCGTGTGTGTGTGTGCGTTCGCGCACGTGAGCCCATGCGCCTGTCTGGGCTTATATGCGTATGTGTAGAATGTCGTGTTTATTTGTCCTTTTCGTCGTTTTGTCCCTTTACAGTCACTTTTACAGTAATTCCTTAACCTTCCATCTCTGCGTCTGTCTATATTTCTGAGATTAGCAGGAGATAACTGATAACTGACATCCATCAAAACATGGCACGTGGAACTAGAACAGTCTAACCCAGTGAGCGAAATAAAGGGTTCAGTTCGAAATTCCAACCACCTGAAGAAGGCCGGAGCGTACAACGGCCGAAACGTTGTGATAAATATGGCGACAAAGATGAGGATAATAGTCCGAATAATGTAAATAACCTTCCATCTCTTTTTCTCATTTTCCTTTTGGCTTTCAATTGTTGCCATTTTGGTAATCGGCTACACCCGGTAATCGACTACACTTTTTTCGGAGCAAACAGGCGGCTAGCCAACCCATGTTGCAAATCCCCTGTTCAAGCACATTTGGGAAAGAAAGCATAATCTTGGTATGATCATCAGTTTAGACAGCACCAGTGCGCTCACACCATCGGTCACGATGACTTATGACTTCGTGCTACCAAAACCATCGACTGCCTCCGTAACAATTTCGTCTTCGTTTTAACAGCGGACAGGAAATGTGACACCGAAATCCGAAGACGCATTGGAATAACGAAAGATTCCTTTCAAAAGCTAATCTAAGGATTATTAAACAGGAATATTCCATTACAAAGGAAAGACTTCTAAACAGTTATGTATTATCAGTCCTTCAATACGGCAATGAACACTGGACAGTTTCCCCACAAAAAAGATGATTGAGACAATAGAAATGTTCTTTCACTGAAGGATGCTGAGAATACGATGAACGTGTGAGTAACGTTGAAGCTTTAAGGAAAATGAAAGCAAAAAGGAAGATTATCCCTAGAATCACAAAGCAGTAGTTGAAATTTCTAGGACATTATGAGGATAGAGAGATTGGAGAAGTCCGTTTTCACTCCACAGTGAAGTGAAAACGGACAGAGGGAAACATCTAGTATCTTACCTACCAAGCCTGTGTAAAAAGTTGGCACATCAGTGACTTGGTGTGATAGTGAAAAGACAACTCTTAATAAAATCTAGAAAGGGTAGCAATCTGTGGAAATTTCCCACGTCTTGAAGGTACACAGCTCGTTGTGACATCCATTTTGTTTGCTTCGAATGTGGCTTCCATTTTCTTTGGTTCTCAAACTTTCCTCAGGTTTGTATACAACTCACTATTGTTAACAGATTTTTACAACCAATAAACAACTAAACAGAGACGCCTTCGTGTCAGATAATGGTTAATGAGGTCGTCTGGTTTATTTCCCACTCGTGAGTTTGATCGTTGTTTGCAATAAAGAACGAAATAAACTTTAAAAAAAAAAAATTGCAATGACGTTGGAATTCTCTACGCCTACCCAACATAAAATGTTCGCCCTTTTTTTCAGTAGCTACAGTGCCACGGAAAAGTTTACAACACATTACCAAAATGTTTTTGGGGTATTTCTAATACAGTTACATTAATCAAACTTTTACTTTCGTAGTCAAACAATCAGATTTTTTAAAAAAACTTCAAAAAAGTCTCCCATGAAGAAAAACCGATATTTAGTAACTCTACAGCTTACAACACATTTTATTTTTTTTATTTACAACAGTTTTTTTTTAATAAAATGTTCAAATTTTAGTAGAACGTTCCAAATTAGAATGGATTTGTTTTTTTAGAACTTTCCAGATTAATTTTATGATTATTTTCAGGAACTATTGCAACATTGTTTTTTAGTCAACCGTCCTTTAAACCTTGACAAAATGGGGAAAAGCAAAATAATTAATCAAGACCTCAGTAAATGTATTGTTGACCTTTATACAAATACATTGTTATTTATAGTCAGTTAAATGTGCCATTGAATTCAGTTGGTATGATAGTCCGTCACTGGAAGACGTGTCATTCCATTCGTCCCCCCACCCCCAAATCTCTGGTCGTCCTAGAAAGGTAACGGAATGTACAGCAAGATTATTGGCGAGAAAAGTTGACAACGAACCACGAGTTATGCTACAAGAAGGGAGGACTAGAAGTAAGTGGAGTAAAAGTTAGTACGGATACAATTAGTCGTTCACTTCATCTATCTTTTCGAGTACTCCAGGGAAAAAAAACACTTCTTAAGCGAAAACACGTTCTTGCTAGACTAGATTTTGCAAACGAGCATTGTATAAAACCTGCGGCATTTTGGGAAAATGTACTTTGGTAAGAAATGATTTGACAAAGGTCTGGAGAAAGACGGGTATTGAATATTCGTCGA